TCATCACGTCGTCACGTTGTCTGCACGCGGCAAATCGTGGAAAACACGCCCCCTGTACGCACGCGTTCACGCAGCGCCCAGTTTTTCCAGCAGGCATTGAGGAGCACAGAGGCAAGATTCAGCAGCGCATCTTCTGATTCGTCCGAAATGTCTTCCCGATGCCAATCCCGAGATTCCCATGTCGTGGCCGACTTTTCGATATTCGCGGCTTCCACTACCGCATCCGTTCAGTCATGAAATCATAGGTGTTAAACCTATTTCGGCGGCGACGCTTGTGGTCATCGATGTGAAATCAGTAGGAAGTAGCGTTGACGCGATGCGGTCACTGATGCGCGATGCGCGTATATAACCATTACAGACGCCGTCCATTGTCCCAGCCGCACAACACCTCGACCCGACAATCGACTTCAAGATGTTGACCAAGAGCCTCTTCACCACTTCGGTCCTCGCAGCTTTCGCTGCTGCCGCTCCTGCGCCCCAGGACGGCTACAGCGCTGCTAAGCCGACTGAAGATGTCCCAGGCTACACCAACGCGGATGCCAGCTTCTCCGTTACCTTCACGCCAGCTGCCACACCCGCTTCGGTTTTCGGTCCTGACTCTCAGGTTGCTGCCATCCCCACCGCACCTGGCTCAGCTCCTCCCCGAAGGAGTTCAGATGTCACTGGCGCAACCAGCCATGGCCCATTCGATGGCACTCCCACTACCACTGGAGCTGCTAAGGCGCCTACTACCATCGGCACTGCCATCGCCCCCATGCCCCCAAACCCCACTGCTACCTACTACAACACCAATGGCAAGCCCCAGAACCCCATGCCTATTCCCTATACGCCCGCTGGTGGTCTCGGTACCAACGGCAGTGAGCCCCGCTACATGGTGAACAGCGACTTCGACTACGAGTCCATCACCCTGGGTCTTTACCAGGAATGGATCGAACTCGACCTGTTCAACAACGGTCTCGCCATCTTCTCCGCAGAGGATTTCCTCGACGCTGGTCTGACTGCTGAGGACCGCGCCTATATTGCCTTCATGGCCCAGCAAGAGAGTGGCCACGCCACCCTCTTGACCAACATGCTCGGCGAGACTGCTCCTCCCCAGTGCACTTACAACTACCCTTACCGCACCGTCCGCGAGTTCATCGACTTCAACCAGAAGCTCACCCGCTGGGGCGAGTCTGGCGTCTGGGGCTTCCTCGCCCACCTGGACTCCCGCGAGGTTGCCTCCCTCCTCTCCCAGTCCATTGCCACCGAGGCCCGCCAGCAAATGTCTTTCCGCCAAATGCTCGGCCTTGCACCCCAACCCGTATGGTTCGAGACCGGTATCCCGCAGTCTTGGGCATGGACCTACCTGGCACCCTACATCAGCTCGTGCCCTGAGAACACAACCCGTCTCGCATGGCAGAACTTCCCCACGTTGCTCATCGACAACCAGGCCAACCCCAACCGCTTCTCGCCCAACGATACCAAGCCCCACGAGGTAGTTGGCGACCGCATCGCTGACCCCTCTGACTCTACCATCCCCGCCGATGAGTCCTGCGTCAACATCAACGGTACCGAGCACCCAGGCTACTCCTGCGGCCCTGCCATCGCGCGCAACCACAGCGAACCCCTGTCCTTCCCCGGCAAGAAGATCAACTTCACCTGGGAGAAGCCCGGTCAGGCTGTCGGCCCCAACAACTCTTACGTCACGGATACCAGTGCCGGCGCCCCCGCGTACGTTGCCTGGGTCAGCCAGCTGAACTTGACATACACGCCCCTTGAGGTCACCGGCGAGAACACTGGTTTCACATACCAGCCCGCTGCTGAAGTCTACGAGGGTGACCCATCCGTCAACGGTACCATGTTCGTTGCGCTGACTGATGCCAACCCGTTCTTGACTCCCTTCAACTTGAGCATGATCAACCCTCACGTTGTTGCTCTTGGTCTGTACCAGGCTGGTTAAGTCTGTGCAATGAGGGATGAGGAGTTAAATGTGCCGATGCTACCGTAGCATTGTCAACATGTAAAGTTATTGGATGAGGCCTATGAGCCATGTAATTAGTTGAGAAGATGAGGATGTTGTATGATAGCTGGTGGATGGATGATTGAGAAAGAAAGTAATGCGTAATGATACCAATTTGTCATCATCAAAAGATCTTTCAAGTTTGTTCATGTGATATGCGATACTTACTCTTTTGACTAGGTCGCCTCGATCCCACATGATGCTTTTGGCGCTCGGCGGTGCATATAAAAGTTCCCCTTCCTTCTGTCCTCATCCTGCTTCTCTTCATCAAACCGCGGCTTCATTTTACCAAAAAGTATATAGCACCAGTCCATGGCCGTCTCTGCCTCCGCTTTCTGCAAAATATCACCCGTCCGTCACATGTGTGCAGATTCCGGCGTCGATCACTGCATGTTTGTCCAAAACATCGGAAAACATCTACATCAAATCCATGTTTGTCCGAATCCCAAAATCACCGGTATACCTATCCATGAGCGGATGGCTCCCTTCTCCAAAAACAACCGTTCCACGTGCTATGTCTCGGGCTTTCCGTATAAAACTTCCACGACGGCGCGCTTCCACTTCTCCTCTTTACTTCTCTCACTCCAACAATGTGAGCTCAAAATACCAAAATGTTTTCGAGCAAGACCAAATGTCTGTCCCTGCCTTGTCTGCTGTTTCTCAAACTGCAGTAACTGTCGCGTTGCTGTATCACCAAAACATGTAGCGGACCTCCGCATGTCTGTCCCAAATCCAAAACTGTTTGACCCGATGGCGATGAGAGCTGTGCGGTCGTTCTTTCTAAATCAACTACCAAGCCTCACATGGTCTCTCGGCCTTCTATATAAAATATCTACTACGCTGCACCTCTCCACGTATTCTCCAACACTCCAAAACAACCAGTCGATTTTCTCGAAAGGTCACTTTGAAGACTGGATGTTGGCTTCTGGCTTTTCACCTGTTCTTCAATCAAAAGTTCTTGCGCAATACGATATGTGCAAATTAAAATCTCCGGAGACCTTTGAATGTGTGTCCGACATAAAACAGTTCATACACTTCCTGATGGGAGTCGTGCGCTCGTCGTCCTCGAAAAAGCCACCATTATCTCACATGGTGCTTCTCTTCTTTGTGCCTTAAACAAATACAACGTTTCTCCCTTCTGCTCCAAAACTGAGATGCTCGAAACCATGACTCCTGGTTCTCCAATAGCCGAGAAGACTGAAGCCATGGGCGGTCTGCTCTCCTCTCGTGTTACCGAAATCATACTTGTTTATCCGGCCGCTATTTCTCACACAAAAGTGGTTATGACGTGCCTCCCTTCTACATTAAAAACACTTTTGCTACTGGCAATGATTCCTGGCGTTCCTAAAAAGTCAAAAATCGAAGCAAATGAACTTTCTGCTCTCCTCTTGTGTTGCTAAATTTGTACCTGATTCTCCGCTACAATTCACACAACAGTTTTACTGATTTCCTTTCTTCTACTCTAAAAAACACAAGCCTTCAGTTCATGAGTCCTGCTTCTTCAAAAGACACACTATCCGTACATATGGGTGGCTTGCTCTCTCTTCTGTCGCGGGAGTCTCAAAAACGGTGATCTCGCCGCGTCACCAAAACACCCTTCGGTCCCCCAATGTGCGGGCAAACAGAGACCAAACTCCTAGCATGCCGTGAATACTCTGCTTTCAAAGTTGCTTGGAAGTAGTACCCGGTCTCTGGGCCCCCATATAAAAAGGCCAGGGAGCTGTTCATCCTGGTCTTCCTCCTCCTACATTCACATACTCCAAAACGTGGAAGGTGGATTCCAAAAGCTCGAGCTTTGAGACTCATGGCCTTTCCTGCTCCTCTCTCCTGTTGCATCGACTCTGCACAGAGGCGACCTTACCATGCTGCCAAAATCGGCATAGGCCCAAGCCATGTTCTGCGGAGTTCAAAACACCTTCAAGACCTTCATCATCGGAGCTTTGCGCTTCGCCTGCTTCCGATCTTCCCAGAAAGCAACTCTTGGCGTATGGCGTTCCATATAAAAGGCCAGCGAAACTGTCATTCTTTCTCTCTTCATGCATTCACGTACTACAAAACGTGGAAGGCAGATTCCAAAAGTCGAGCCTCAACACAAATGGTCTTTTCTGCTCCTTTCTTTTGTTGCATCATATGCGCAGTAGCGATCTTCTCAACTCACCAAAAAAGATGCAGGATCTGACCATGTTCTGCGGAGTCTAAAAAGAGAAATCGAGCGTGGCATGAGGGTCGCGCTTCGCCTTGCTCAAATGTCTTTAGCAAGTGTTTCCTGGTTTGCAGATTTGCGTATAAAACATCTACAATGTTACCCTCAAACTTCTACTTCTATATCTCACACTTCGAAACATGAATGTTAAAGCCTAAGACGATGATAAATCTGGTGATGGTTGTTTCGGCTCCTCTCGTTCGTTAATTAAGAAGATACGATACTGTGCTGCATTGCCGAAACAACATTCGTCCGTATACATGTTCTCCCGGGTCCAAAAGACCTCTACAATCTACTCATGAGAGCTGCGCGTTTGCCATTCTCAGATCTTCTCAGGAGGTATTGCTTTGATTCTGGCATTTCTTGGAGAATAACCACAGTACCACCTCTCTAATCCACTTCTATCCTGAAGCTCGCATACTTCAAAAATTGCGAACTGAATTCCAAATAAGTTGGTGGCAAATGCATGACCATTTCCCCTCCTCTCGCTCCATTATATCTACCATACAGTAATGCGCTGTATCACTGAAGAACAATACCACAACTTTCATGGTTTTGCTGAGCTGAAAAGGAACCAAGGTCATGCATGATGAGAACTGCGCGTTCGCTTTCCCGAAGCTTTTCCAAATGGCAGGAGTGAAGAAGCCATGTGTTCCGCTAAAGTCGACCACGCATTCAAGACCATGTCTGACACCTAAATCGGCAGCGTCGCATTAGCAGGCAAACAGCTTCCCCTCTCCATTGCAATCCTCGCTGTAGCATTGACCACTAGCCCCGCCAACGGACTAGTTCCGCACTTCAAACCCAGTACAAAAGCCTGGCTATGCTGTTCTCCTTATTAGCCAAGTACTCTCTCAAACACAAAACAAAAAGCAGTCGAAAGAGACAAATGCTCGAAAAAACGGAGAAGACAGTAGCGATGGGCGAGAGGAGTTGCAAGAACGTACCACATCCGCCAAAAACGGCGCGGTATGCGTGTGATCCATCGGATACTCCTTATCCACCACCTCCTTTCCCAATAGCTTCTGCGCTTGCGCTGCGTAACTCCCATGCTGAACGAAGTACACATGTGATGCTGGGCCACCTAGTTCGATGGCCGATAGCCTGTGTCGAATGTTAGTCAGACTCGTTCTTTGTTCCTCAAAATCTCAGATGGCGGACATTGATGTGGTCGGCCGGGTGATGTTACATACATATTGTAGTAGGCAAATCTTCCGGGCGTGAAGCTGTAACTACCCGATTCCCACACGTTGGTGGGCAGTTGCGATGCTATGACGATGCCGGAGGCGCCGAGGGAGAGGAAAGTGGATGCTGCGGTTTTGATGTAGGAGGGGAATGTGTGGACGACTTCCGTGGCGTTACTATCGCGCGGGTGAATATGTTAGTCAATGTTGATGGGTGTGGCTGTCGGGTGGCGTACTTGAAAGTCACATCACACGTCTCATCGCCCACACCAGGGCATGACGGACGGCCTTTATCTCCTGTTGAGCTGGTCGAGCCATTCTGAAGCGTGCCGGCGTCATTGATGCCAAACTCGATTATGACCCAGTCGCCGGGTTGGAGGGCTTTGGCTATTCTGTCGAAGCGGCCTTCGCGTGTGAACTATTTTCGCTACGTGTTAGCCAGTTCTGTCCATGATTCCGTGTTGTGAAAGAAGTAGAGAGAGTGGACGTACCGAGCGCGCGGATCGTCCGGCATAAGCGGAGTTGTTCACTTTGGCGTTGGTGCCGAATGAGTACCGGAGATATTGTCCCCAGCCTTCTGTACCGTTGTGCCCTCCATCTGGTGCGGTGGTAGAGTCGCCTGCAATCCAGATGGTTGGTACGGTCGCTCTTGTAGCTGCGCCTGCGTGTCTTTCGGAGATGCTTTGGGGTAGCGCCGAGGCCGCGGTGATGAAGCCCAGAAGATACGGTAACGATGTGTGGAACTTCATACTGGGACGAGATACTCAAAATCACCAAGCGGCTGATTCGATAAGTCTGAGATACTGACTGGCGTCTACTCCACACGATCGCGAGTGTTGCGCCAAGCGCTCAGTACTTATACCGAAGCCATCTCCAACGCCACCGGAAGATATCATCTCTCCAATTTGTCGCAAGGGGTTTAGCAACGCCATCAGCAGGCTAGTCTCATCTCCGCAGTTCAAACACGTTAGAAGTTGCGGAAATAGCTTCAAGGAATCACGCCGACGCGGAGTCCCCGCATCGTCCAGGGTCAACCCGCACTCGGCTATCGGGGCAGTAATTACCGAACAGTCCAGATCTTCCGTCGCTCGAAAGGATGATAAGAAGAACGCGATGCGCGAAGAAAGAACGCGTTGTGTTGATGCGTCTGCGATGCGTAAGATGCGCAAGGCGTGACGCGAGGACAAGGTATCTGACGTCATAGGTATATGCCGGCGAATGAGGGTGCGGAAAGTACGGGCACTGGTGCTGGTATCAAAGCAGATGTTCTCGCGCTGAGGTTTCTCTCTACTAACTTTACTTTGCGCTGTTCTGCATACCAAAATGCTGATGAAGCGGATGATGGGTGGTGCGCCTCCCTTCGCCGTTCATGCCTCCGAAAGCCACACTCAAACTGGCCACGTCTTCCTGTCTCTTCATCTTTTCGACTTCCGCTTGCAAGGTCAGATTTCAGCTACATTTGCACAAAAAGCGTTTAAATATCGACAAATGTTTCTGCAAGACTGGTGCCTTCCGACTACAAAAGTTTCTGCTGTCTGGTTACCAACCTCTCAAGACACCTGCAGATCTTTATTATTTCCTAAATACAGCGAACCAGTAGCCATGTGGCTTCCTGCCTGCCAGGCATGCCTAAATATACGGATTATCGAAAAGGGCCGCGAAACAGGTCATGGTCTTGGATTTGGCAATTGAAAAGGTCCGAGCTGCTTCTTCATAGCGACAGGCTCGTTCGACTTGCCGTGGTACCTTCTAGCGTTCGTGGGCTGACGTTCGATATAAAACGCTACCTTTTCTCTCCTCCATCTTCTTCCATCAAAATTGCGCTTTCGCTGTTCTTCAAAACACAAAGCCAGGCGCCCATGTCTTTCGGCCACTTGTGGCTTGCACTACACTTTTCGAAAAAGACAGAGCTCTTACATATGACTTCGCAGTGGTTAAGAAACAACTACCCCACCTTTACATGCGAAATGAACTTTCAGATGTTTCAAAACAGCAACCGCATCAGTTGATGATACCGATGCGCAGTATAAAAACTTCTAATCGTTCGGCTTTGCCCCTTTCTTCACAACTTCAGTCGACCATTTCCATAGAATTTCCAAAGCTTAAACACCATCATCGCATGTTCGGGTGTATGCTATCCTCGAGCACTTCGAAGTTGATCATCGCAAGTCTATGCCCGCGCGATATCCAAAAAGATGCATGCCCTGTCGCCATGTGAGACGTGCGCTTGGCCTCTTTTGCTGTATAAATACCTGCCGCTTCCCTTCTCACTCCTCCAGATCATGTAGTACGGAGCTGAGGCGATTATACCAAAAGAAGGAAAGACCTGATTTATGTCTGAGAGGTGCGTCGATGCCTTCCCTAGTGCTCAATGCCGAAAGTCTGCGTGTGAGATTTGATGTGTTTCCTTGTTCCAAAAGCTAATATTCACGCAACCATGTCACCAACTTACGGATCAGAATCAGTATATAAGAGAAGCGCCCGTAAGCATTCGATAGGCCTGCGGACAGTGATAGCATTTCCTAATGAAACATCGTTCCCAACCATGCATGCAGAAGCGCAGCCCATGTCCCAAACGCCTCGTTCGCCTAACAAACCAAGCTCTCACATGCGCCACTCTTCCAACTCCATCCTCTAAGTACAAGTAACGTCACCAACTCCCGACATCTCCCTCACAGCCTCCTCAACCTCACCCGGCTCCATGGCAGTCATAAAAGTAGCCGTGAAAGAATCGCCACCAGTATATTTGAACGCCCAATCACCGAACTTCTCCTTGAGCGACGCTTCGTCACCCCATCCAGATCCTGTGATCTTGAACTCCCCAGCTCCTATGCCCTTTCCGCGAATTTCGCATCCCGCTGTGTTTGGGGGTGCTTCTGGCGTCGGCTCGGGTTCTGGCTCGGTGTCGGTGGCCGGGCGGTTGTGGACGTTGCAGATTTCCTGGAGTGTTGTTAGTTCATGGTCTTCGTCGGGATTTGAAGGTGACGAACATTCTTCAGATCTTCATTGACGACCTCGCCACCCTCGATGATCGGGCGGCCTGGAACCGACTTCTCGGGTGTTGGGGCTCGCTTTGTGAAGAGAGAACGCTTGACCGCCGCATCAGGAAGATCGCATAGTCTGTGGCCGAATTAGTTTGTGATGATTTGAGGCAAGGAAGATATCGTACGTATTCTGCGCCAGATTGTATGGTACTTTGAGGCTCTCCTTGTCGGGCTTTGGCGATGTAGGATATTCCTCGCCTTCTTTAAACGGATTGTCGTTCCTGACTTCAGAGTTCTTCAACATGAACTTCTTCATGTCTGCCGGTGCGGTGCCGTCGCCCCAGTTGCTGCTTAGTCCCGGGATGCTGAAGAGATATGCAGCGAGTCCGGCCTTCCGTCATTAGTGTCTTGTGCTGGGCTGGAGATATCGCCGAATACTTACTATAGCTGGTGCCGCAGCGGAGGTCCCATCAACTGGCGCAGTGGAGTCATCCTTGTCGTCATGCTTCGCAGCAACAACTTGAACTGCGTCGGCGTATACATCGACTTGGCCGCCTTGGCCCTCCTTGCCTTGGACTGTGTGTGCGTAATACTTCCCGGTCTGGTCCACGCCACCCACAGTGATCATTTCAAACCTATTGTCGGTGCCATAGGTTTGCGGTATGAGGGAATCCAGAGTGCGAAGTTCTCCATCATTACCCGCGGCGATAACAAGCGTGACACCGTCTTTCTTGCATTCCGCGAGTGCATACTCCAATACCGCAATCTTACCAGGATGCTCTTCTTTGTCCCAGCCTGAACTGTTGTTAGTGTGGTCTAGGACCAGGTCGTGGAAGGCAACACTTACCATAAGATAGGTTGATAATGTACCTTGCATTAGGGTCGGGATTCTCAAGCCGTTGTTTCCTAATGTCCTTTCTTGTCCACGCGAAGGCATACTCTAGCGCTGAGTCCGTAACGCCGCGTGGTTTAAGATCAGGTCGGTCAGGGTTCAAAGGGTTCTTGGCCCAATTCCTCATCTTCACGACAACAAGATTTGCTTTCGAAGCCACACCACTGACGTATCCGGCTGCGATGCTCGCAACCATAGTGCCGTGACCAGTGACATCCGTCATATCCTCTGGACCTTGTTGATCTGGCGTGAGCCCAATACCAGCGAATGTGTATCGGTTAGCAACAGTAAAGTCTCGAACCTCGCGCTCCGAAGCATCGAATTCTTGGTGGCTCTTACGATAACCACTATCGAGGACGTAGATAGTTTGACCTTTGCCGAGTGAAGGTTCGAACACATAGTTCGGTAGCTTTGTGGGGTCGTTTCTCTGGTTCCTGGCTGATAGCAACTGGAGATGAGCTGCACTCTCATCCCTCTGGTTGAGTGCCTGAGCTTTGACATGAAGTGAATTTGGAAGTAGTGAACTCGGATCTTCCTGCGGAGGGATGACGCGCAGCTCGCCATCGTCTTCAGTAATTCGCTCGATGAATCTTATGATAGGATCCTGGCGCACAATAGCGGCCTCCGCGTCAGTAAGATTGAGATATTGACAAGAAACATATTCGAGCTCATCGAAAGCGATTATGTCACCTTCCTTGTCACCAAGCGGCGGCTTCTTGGCCCACTCTTCGTATTGGGCTCTGTTGATGCCGTCAATGGTGCTGAGGAGATAGGCTCTGGGAATGTCTTCCTCTCTCTTGACGCGCTTCGTAGTCTCCATGGTCCCTGCTGGAGAGGCGTCATTTGAATCCTGCTGGCATGTATCGCCCTCGTTTCCCTTGTTGTCTGAGGGGGCACATGATGATTTCACCACGGGGTTGGCCGAATCGATGGGGCTGGTTGATCCAGTTCCCACTTCGTCATTGGTAGCCATCCTGTGACGGAGGGAGACGGCAGGCCCAGTTGTAGCGGCTCCAATAGTGATGTGTGTAAGGAAGACTGCGATTGCTCCCAGAACAACGCGCGAGATGTGAACCATGTCGGAAGCCTTGGCGAAGCGGGGAAGTTCACAGCGAATCGGATAAAGAGGTGCTCAATTGCCGCGAACAACCAATCGAAGAAGCAGTAGTCTGATGGATGCGAAAATCGTAATGTGTACAAGTTGGTATGCGAGTAGTCGTTGCTGAATGTGTGTGTATGGTCTCGCTTTTGGAGCGTCATGCTTTCCTCTTATATTCAAAAGCGTGAATAAGTATAGAACGCTCACCTGTACCAGCCCACAATTACAAACGGAATGGTTCCATGCCGATGAGGAAATAGTACTGCTCGGATGCCTGACGCCTCCCTCAGTTTGAGAACTGCCAGCCTGTTCTGAGACCAAGCGGCGTAAGCCACATTCGATGTACTGTATCTTTGGATCAGAACAACGTACTGGGTCCTACGGCACGGAAATTTGTATGGGCGCCGCATAGGACGACTGAATGATAGTTTGGTGTTGAACAAGGTCCGTCTCGATCAACGTGAGCCATGCTCAACGGGTTAACGAGAAGTCCAGGTCCGCTAGGCCCGCATCTTCAAGCCATATCGCCCAGATTCTCTGAGTTCGATGAGCTGGAGAAGTGACAGGGACAGGGTTGTAGCACGGAGCCTCCAAAGATCTGCGTAGCAACATCGTTGAAACGTACGTTCGCCTTGCCGTCGCCTTGCCATCGAGTGTCAGGTATTTGCGTTCGCTGATGTCAGCGAGGTACGTCGGATCGCGGACCTGAATAGCATCAGCGTCTCGCGAAGGCAGATTATGTCTTTATCGACGTGTCGTTTCAAGGGCCTGTGT